CCTTTTTTTTTTTCTTTTGGCTTACTCCTTGATGTTACCATTCTTTCTGGGGTGAGATGGAATCTCAGTGTTGTTTTAATTTGCAATTCTTGAATGATCAATGATGCTGAACACTTTTTCATATATTTACTTGTCATTTGTATTTTTCCTTTGAGAAGTGTAGAAGCAGCTCAGATGCTGATTTTGAGATTGGGTCTTTGAATTTGGGGGGCCTTATATTTAAAAATTCGTTGTATGTCCTAGATAGGTTTTTGTTAGAAGGGCAGTCCACTATAAATCTCGTGCTTGTTTTTGTTTTTTTTTTCTTACTCTGTTGGAGATTTGCTTTTTAAAAAATAATTTTATTAAGAAACAAATAGCGATGAGACAGTTTCAAAACCAATTAATAGGACATTTCAATAATTAATACATTGCATATATTGTCTTCATAGTGGTTATTCATTGTACAAGATGCAGACCTGATATCCTGTTTACAAACACTATTAGAACAAATCTTTCTATGCATTAAGAGAAAGTAGCTGTATAGCTCTCTTATTTTGAATATACAGATGCAAAGTGGTTGTTCATTTGTATCCCCCTTTTTTGTTTAGTTTTGTCAGAGAAGGGTATTCCATTGTTATTTAAGTATTGTAGGTGCATGAATTCAGCAAAATATTCCAATATAGTCCAGTAATCCATAATAGTAGTGGGTTTTCCGTAGGACTGGTCATGACAGAAGTTGTTGACTTGAGCTTTTTACAGCACAGCATATTAATATGTCTTTACATTTTATACTTTGTTTTTATACTTTTACGCTGGATGGTTAAGACCAAGATAAAACAAGACCACTATAACAAGAAATATAACTTTTGCATCTGATAAAGTCAGTCAAATCCCCTCAGGATTTATCCTGAAACCCTGTACTGCAGTTTGTAGATCCTTTGTCAATATCAGCCATGTGGATGAGTCACAGCCATTGCTTGACCAATTTGCACTCTGTGAAAGCTTGAAAGAATGTTTTTTCTCCATGTGACTCTCCTTAGGCACACTCTAAATCATCCGTCTCTTTCCTCTGTGGCCCCATAATTGGAGATTTGCTTTGAAGTGCAGAAACTTTTCAATAAGATGAGATCCTGAGGCCAGCCAAATAGCTCAGCAGATTAAAGCACCTGCAAGCGGGCACAGGGGCCACAGGTTTGATCCCTGGGACTGCTGTGCCAGCCCCACCCCTGGGACACACTGAGATGGTAAATGAGACTGGGCATAGTGGCTCGCGCCTGTAATCCCAGCTCTTGGGAGGCTGTAAAAAGGCGGACCACTATGAGTCCAATCTAGTAGTGAGACCCTGAATACCCTCTAGACCTTCCACCCTCCTCCCCGAAAAAGTAAGATGAGACCACAGCTGTTGATTCTTTGAAGTACTTCCCGCTCAGTTTGGCTGTTGTTCATGAACTCTCTTCCTACCGCTATGTCTTTAACATTTCTACCTACATTTTTCTCCAGAAGATTTAGTGTTTCTCTTTTCATATTTAAACACTTTTTGTATTTAAGAGAGGGTGTACAGGGTCTCACTGCATAGATGAGACTCATAGTGATCCTCCTGTTTACAGCCTCCCAAGTGCTGGGATTAGAGGCACATGCCACCATGCTCACTCTCAGATGCCATTGCAGCGTGCCCTGGGGCTAGGGCTGGCACAGCAGGCCTGAGAATTGAACAACTGGTCCCTGCATCTGTCTAAGCAGGCATTTTAATCCACTGAGCTATTTGGCCACCCTTTTAATATTTTAAATCTTTGATGCATTTGAACTTGGTACTTTGTACATGGTGATAAGCATGGGGCTCCATTTAGCCTTCGGCATGGAGAAAGCCAGTTTTTCCAGCACCATTTCTTAAAGAGGCTATCTTCTTTCCAGAGGGCCTGTTTGGCCCTTTTATCAAAGAAGGGGGGGCTGAGTGTGTTTGTAGTTGTGTCTGTATCTTCTAATCCATTACACTGATCCTCAGGTCTGTCTCTATGCCAGTACCATGCTGATTTTATCACAGCAGCATTATAGTATAATTTCAGGTCAGGGATTGTGATACCTCCTGCTTTTCCTATGTTTCCCAGGAATGCTTTTGATATGCTTGGTGTCTTCTGGTTCCAAATGAATTTGAGGAAAGTTTTCTCTAGCTCTGTGAGGTATTCTAATAGTCTGATAATTGGGATTGCATTGAACCTGTATAGCAACTTGTGGAGCATGGCCATTTTCACAATGTTGTTTCTTCCTATCCAGGAGCATTGAATGGTTTTCTATTTTCTCAAATCCTCCTCACTCTATTTTCTTAGAGTAGCATAATTTTCTCTGTAAAAGTATTTTACATTCTTTGTGTGATTCATTCCTAAGCATTTCATTTTGTTGTGCAAGGTGTGGTTACCTTCATTTCTCTCTCAGCGTGTTTATTGTTTGTGTACAAAAGGCTACTGATTTTTAGGTGTTGACTTTGTATCTCACTACACTGCTGAACTTGGTTATGAAATCTACGAGACTCTTGGTGGAGTTTTTGAAACTCTACTGCTACTCTGTGTAGAGTATCATGTCATCTGCAAATAATGATAATTTCACTTGTGCTTTCCAAATCCTTATTCATTTTGTCTCTCTTGTCTAATTGCTCTGGCTAATATATGCACAACTATATTGACTAGGAGTGGAGACACTGCACAGCCTCGTGTTGTTCCTGATTTTAAAGTGAAAGCCTTCAGAATTTTTGCCCAATTAATATGACATTGGCTGTTGGTTTCTCATAGATGGCTTTCATTAGGTTGACCTACAGGTCTGCACTTGTTAGGTGGGGCTGAGAAAACAGGGGGAGGCTGTGCTCAAACATTTTGACAGGTGCAGAAAAGCCAGCCTCTCTGGACTTCTCTGGATGCGAACACCCGAGGTCCCCACTGAGCCTCCCCTCATGCCCATGGCCTGGGAACCTTTCAGTGTGAGAGCGCCGTTCCCCTCCCACCAATGACTACAGGCTGAGCTTCTGGGCCACCGGCCTCAGGTCCAGGCACCTGATGTGCAGGCACGTGCCCCTGTTCACACCTGCTCAGCTCCTTCCTTGAGGGAAACCATACAACCCGAGGCAATCTCCTTATGGTCTGGGAAGGGGTGGAGGACAGGAGGGAGCCCTTGCTGGGACCTGCAGAGCCGGCATCCTCAAAGCCCAGCAGGTCTCCACAGAAACTGTGCTGACTGTGGCAGGACACCAGCCACTGGCTTCCTTCTCTTCCCAGAGCTTTTCAAAGAGGACAGTGATTCCCAGCTTGCATCTGGAGAAGAGGGCTGAGCACCTATGGTGTCCCTGGAGGAAGAAGCATGGCTTCCTGGGTTGGACCCCAAGGCACACACCAACTCATGTATGCACAACTACGCACACACACACAGGTATGTGGATACACTCACACAAAGTTCACAACTGTCCTGCTCATGTAGGGGCTATTGCAAATGTAATCAAAATGTAAAATCCTGTATTTCTAACACTATTCAAGAATGAGATAAGGAAACACAGTTGATTCTCATAATTAGAGAGCTACAAATCTTAACATGCCATGGTGCTCCCAGAGCAGGGCGTAAAATGAGTAGAATTTAGTGAAATGGTGGTGTTTTGCTTATGTTTAAGTCCCAGAGAATTAGCACCTCAAGGACACCTCTGCCCGGTCTCAGACAACGACTGAGTCTTCCCCCATGTTATACAATTGTAACCTGCTTTGTTCCTGGAAGAGTAAATTCTGCCTAGCAGTTAATGAAAAAGACATGTGTGACCAAATACAGCATGTAATATGAGGTGCCTTTCCTACTTCCTCCCTAAAAACAATGCCAGAGTGACCTCAGAACGAGGCTGGGGAATTGGACCTGCTCGGCCCCTGGTCGGGTAGTGGAGTGCAGCTGTCTGCCTTCCAGAGGGCCTCCAGTGCTGCATCTCCCTCTGGTCTGGTCCTGAGCCTTGCAGCACAGCAACACCAGTGCAGATGCCCAGGCACACTCACACATGCACACGCAATACACACGCACACACACAAGGCCCGCACCTTCACACAAATCCATGTACACCTGCATATGAAGGACACACAAAGACACACACAGCCCTCCTAAACAACAGATGACTATGCCATACCCACACAGGATGCACAACATGCACCTGCACATGTGTTATGTATGTATACCCATCACACAAGCCTATGTACACACATATGTGCAGGCCATGCTCACAAGCCTCAGACACCGAGAGTTGGACATACCCATTGCACACCAGGGCACTCTTGCACAGGAAGCCCTCCTGGACCAGCAGAGATACACACAGCCAGAGCACCTCACTTGCCCTTGGTCCATGCATGCTGTGCACATACAAAGCACACACATTCATGCATACACACTCCTGTGTACCTCTCACTGCTAAGCCTAGGAGGTAGAGAGACAGCTTAAGAGGACCAGGGAGAACAGCGCAGCAGAAGGGGGAGGGAGAAGCTCACTTCCTAGAACAGAAAATCTTCCAAGAGCAGGTTCTGGCCTGAACTGAAATCCCTCTTGGTGGCTTGGAGAACTGATCCTTCCGTCATTTAAGTACAGTGACCCCAGGATGTGGGAACTCAGGAGAGGATTTCCAGTGAGTTCCCCGAGGCTCATATGGATTGCTCCTCAACTCATTTTTAGAGCACAATTAAAACCATGGCTTGGACTTCAGATTCATGTGGAGAAAACATTTATTCGAAGAGGGAAGCAAAACCTAGACAGAGAGATGGCATCATTGTGACGAATTAACACAGATGAAAAGCCCTTGAACATCTACAGAACTATCCTGCTATCGACCTCATCCTTGACTGTGAGTCTGCAGTATCATTTTAATTGCTAAATTCTAGTCCCTTTACACTTGGGGGAAAGGGAGGCGTCAGTCGTCTCTTCTGAAGACCCTTCAGACCTGGCCTTGCGGTGTGTAGGGTTATATTAGTTATTCTGTGGCTCTGGGGTATGGTTATATTGCGCATAACCTACTATTTCTGTGAGCACTGGGCTCCAATTCTGTGTGTTCTCTGGTGCCTGCTGAGGCTTGATCGATGGCGAAAGCACCGCCCACAGTCCCTGCAAACATAGGGCTTCTCTCCTGTGTGTTTTCTCTTGTGCTGAGTGAGGTTTGATTGATCACTAAAGCCCCGTCCACAGTCCCTGCAAACATAAGGCTTCTCTCCTGTGTGTGTTCTCTGGTGACTGGTGAGGCGTGATCTTAAACTAAAGCACCGCCCACAGTCATTGCAAACATAGGGCTTCTCACCTGTGTGAGTTCTCTTGTGCTTGTTGAGGTTTGATTGGAAAGTAAAGGCCCGCCCACAGTCGCTGCAAACATAGGGCTTCTCACCTGTGTGAGTTCTCTTGTGCTCGGTGAGGTTTGATTGACGAGTAAAGCCCCGCCCGCAGTCCCTGCAAACATAGGGCTTCTCTCCTGTGTGTGTTCTCCTGTGCCTGATGAAGAGTGACTGATAACGAAAGCCCCGCCCACAGTCCCTACAAGCAAAGCGACTGTCCCCTGCTTGTGAAAGCTCGTTCCTGCTGGCCTCCCATGTGTCACTGAGGCCTTGTTCCAACTCTCTACTACTCATGGATGCAATTTGTGAGCTTCCCACCCCCACGGGCAGGGTCTGGCCTGTGCTGAGCTCCTGCTCAGTCACACCCTCACTCTCCCCAGACCTCCCCATCTGTCCCTCGGGAGGGTTGGGGGTATCTCTTGAAGTCCCACTCTCCCTTGTCCTTTGGGGCTCAGGGCTCGGTCTCCCTTGGGCCTCTCCTTCACCTCCATCATTCCTGCCATCAGGACGGGACTGCTGCTGCTCCCAGAGCAGATCCCCCGGACAGGCATCTTCTCCTTGGAGCATGTTGCTTGTAGCTGTTACCCAGTGGATCTGAGAGAGGTGACCGTGGTTTATATAGCCACTGAGGAATTTCTGAATGGAGAAGGCCAGAGAGCGCAAGGGACACAGGTGGATCTCTGCCTTTGGTTCTGCTGAAAGAAGAAGTTCCTGCTCAGAGTGCAGGTCCTCACACTCCCTCAGGCCTGACAGCACCGCACAGCCCTCCCCACCCCACCGAGGGCATTCCCCACACAGCTCTTCCCACTCAGTGCTGTCCCCACCAACACCGTCTCCACTAAGCAATATCTCCAAAAGCACTGACCCCACAGGCACTGTTCACACCCAGAGTTGTCTGCACCAAGCACTGTCCCTAGTAAGTGCTATCCCCACCAAGCACTGTCCCCACCAATCTTGGCCCATAGTGCCTCTCCCATGCCGATTTTTAACAAAATCCACAATGTCAGCCTCAGTAGCCTTTCTGACATGGCAAGCAGTCCAGGGCCCTCCCTGGGCAGACCTGGGACCCAAGGACCTGCATGGGCCCCCACCCAGAACACAACCATCTCCTACGTCATTCCCTGTCTCCTCTGGCTGCCCTCTGCCCAGGTCCCTCACAGATCCTGGACCCGTTTCCTGACTCCTGCTCTGCTGCTGATCTATCCCATTGAGAGCTGGCAGAGTTGATGACTTAGGTAATGCTGTCCCCATTGGCTTCTCCGGCGAGAGGTTACATGGACCCGTCCTGGTCATCCCCCTTGGGGTGGTATAGCTATGGGAGGTTGTGGTGGCTGCATCTGAGAGCAGTGCCGAGATAGAGAATTGTGTGCAATGTGACACACGTGATGATTCCCTTTTGCCCCAGGTTGCCATGAGGAAGCAGGATTGAAGCAGGACAGGCTCAGTGTCCCTACACTCATAACCAAAGGGCTCAGGGTTCCACAGTCACAACATGGCCAGGAATCTCTGCTGTCCAGGGCTCCTTAAATCATCTGGTGAAGATGTATTGGAAATTGCTAGGACTGGGTGACCTAGGCCCCGTGTGAGTGTTTGGCGTGAGGCCACGGAGGATGTATCTTCACCTGATCCCTTGGGGAGCCCTGGACAGAAGAGATTCCTGGCCATGTTATGGCCATTGTAATCTGAGGGGTGTAGCCAAGAGAACATGGGTCCCCATCCTGCTTCCTGATGGCAACCCAGGGCAAAGAGGAATCATCATCCTTCCCTGTATACTGGGGAAGTCCCGCTTCGCAATCTGTCCTTGTCAGACACCTTCTCTCTGTCACCGACCCTCACATGCCACCTTCTCAGCTGGAGACTGAAGCAGCCTCTCACAGCTTTAGCTCTGGGGGCTAATTTCCAAACATGCCAAAGCATGATCCCGGGACATAGAATGGACAGCTCTACAACCATTTGTACCCACATGACTCGGCAGGAGTCACAGGCCCCTCAGGTCCAATCCTGGCCTCTTTCCCACCTCTCAGCGGCTGCACAAAGTGCTGCCCACGTGTGGAGCCCTATGACCACAGACACCCAGGCCCCTTAACTGTTCCCCGCCGGGAAAGCCCTGCCCGGCCTGGTGCACATGTGATCCTGGCCCACCGGACTCCTGCATACTCTTCCCTGGGGGGATTCTTCAGAGGCTCAGCCACTGCCCCGGCTGAGCGCGTGCTCGCACAGGTGCGCGTGTCCCCATGCAAGACCCAGGAGCCAGCGCCACTCATCAGGGGGGTCATCTGCTTTGCTCTGGGTTTTCAGGTCCTGGCACAGGGTAGGAATCCAGGTGACAGCTAGCTGGCCTAAGAGACAGCCTGCGGTTCATGCACACTATTTGGGAATTGGAGAGAATTGAAAAAAAACACTGTGTGGGCCAGAAGAGGCCAGGTCTGTGAGGGCGCTGCCTCGCTGAGAACTTCTACTTGGGCTCCAACCATCCCACATTACATTTATTAGATATTTGTGCACTATGTGCTTGCATAGCAGACTCTGAACAAACATTCTGAAAGATAAATTTTTCTAAGTGTCAAAGGCATGCAAAACACATCTGTCCGTTTGCAAGCTGAGCATGAGACATTTCACTGACTGTGGACTGCACCTCAAGCTTCTTATGAGTGGAAGCGTGGGAATTCCCGGGGAGAAGCTTCCTCCTTTCATGCAAGGAAGCCCAGGGGTGCCTACCTCTCCCATCCACGTGCTGTTTCTTCCACTTGCTGTTGCCTGTGAGGCCCAGCACCTGCCCATACTCGTTCCCGTACCAGACCAATAGCTCAGTGCCAGGCTTGATGGCCTTGCAGGTGCGGTAGAAGATCTGCCCGTGGTACTGAATGGCCACAAGGTTCTGCTCCTCCTCAATGCGGGCACAGTTCACATACCTGGGGTTCAGGGTGGAAAGGAAGGAAATAGCTGATCCCTTTCGTGTCCCCATCACATCAGTGTCCATCCATCCCTCGAGTGGTAGACACTTCCCTGTTGTGCACCGCCCCTACTCCTGGTGGAACCTGCTGTTCTCACCTGGGTCTCTTCCACAGGGCCAATGACCACTTAGCTCTGAGTCCTCCAGGTCTCCCCACCTACATATCCAGTGTTTCATGCCACATCCCAGACTTCACAAACACCTAGCTGGGTGTAAAACCCAGGAAGCCTTTGCATTTCAAAACTGTAAATAAGGGTGGTGTTTCCTTTGGAAGTTGGTGCCAGGGAAGGATTCTGTTTCTAAAGTAGTCTCTACTAGGCTACCCTGGCCCAAGTCATCGTGGGAGATTCCCCCATCACCTGACCAAGGAGGCCGCCTCCTTTCCCACATGCGTGTAGGCAATCATGTCTGCCTTAGTACCATGTCTCAGAATGGCATCAGTGTGTCCCTATCCCCTAGTGTCTCTGCTGAAGCAAGAGCCCCTCTCTCAAATCACTTAGGCAGTCAGTATAGGAACCCCCTACACTCCTGCAGTCTATTTCTTCCCAGGCTCAGCACTATTTTCAGTGTCTCTGAGGCCCTGTTAGCCTAACAGTCCCTAGCTTATACTTCTCTTCCTGCCCTGTAAATGTTGAAGGCACATTAAATTACACTGAAATATTCCTGCAGTAAAACATCTCGTGTGCTCTGCCTCAGGCGCTCCACAGCGACAGAGACTGTGGTCAGGAGGGAAGCCCACTTTCTAAGTAGGAGAATAGCAATCAGGGATGAGAAGGGAAGGAATCGGGCTAGTGAGGGACAGATGTCCTTGTGGAGCCAGGAAGCCTGGTGTCCTCACCTCATCCAGTTGGCGTGGGATGTGTCCTTGCCGTCCACGTACTTGTAGCTCTGTCTCCCCTCAGAGATCTATGTTTTGGGAAAAGGAGTTACTGTCCTCATTTGGGAGGAATGACATCTGCCAGCTGTACCTGAGGCTACTGTCACCCCCTCCCTTCATGCTGCTGCATCCTGCCTGCCCAGCATCTGCAGACAGGCAAGGACGCCACAGAGGCTGTATCTACTCCATTTCTGTGCGGCCCTGTCCCACTCAGCATCTTACCCTGCACCAGGGATTTTGTTGTTGCCAAGGCAACTCAGGACACAGAGCTGAGCGGCTCAACCAAGCCCAGGGAGCAGAGGGACACTGGAGGGGCTCAGGGTACCAGGAGACGGGGAAGGAAGGCCCCTCACCATCCAGGCGTAACCGCTGTGGCCCGCCTCTTCATCCTCTGTGATCTGACCCTCGTAGGGGCCAAAGTGCACATCCACAGGCAGGGTGGAGTTCCCATTCCAGACTCCCAGCCCAGCCCCTGGGATGCTCGAAGGTCCTATCCTCAGCCCGGTGGGCAGTGTGTGCACTGCGCGGTCCTCAAGCCCCACATCTGCCACGCTGTCCTTCATGAATGTAGGGGGCCCATGAGTGGGACAGCTGTCGATGAAGTTGATCTTGCACTTCTCACAATCTGAAGGGAGCATGGTGGGGATTAGGAATCATATAATCCTTGTGTATTCCTCGCTATGGGGAGCTCCGGAGTGAGCCCAAACCCCTACCTCTGCCTTCCATTCTCCACTGCTCATGCCTAGAGTGAGGGGCGCCTTGAGCTCCAGGTGACTGCGTGCACACCTAACTGTGCCTTGTCCTTTGGGGGCAGGTCAAGAGGGTCACTTACACAGGAAGTCATCATCCTGGGGCTCGCTGACCTCCTCATATGCACAGCCATTTCCTTGTCGCAGGGTGTACAACTTCCGCTCAACAACCCTTCTCCTGGGTTCTAAGGGGAAGGACAGAGCAAGACTGAAGTGGATCACCCAGGGCATCTCTCCCTGTATCATCAGAAACTGTGAAATATCCTTGCATCTGATTGTCACCCATCCTTCCCCATCCTCTAAATCCCTGCATTACCCACAGGTCACATTTCTAGCTGTCGAGGGCCACATGCAACCCACAGTGCACAAATACCTCGTCAGGCAGCACTAAGGATGTGCAGAGCTGTTGCCACAAATGGCTGTGGGGGACACTGTGCCAAGTATGTGTCCTTTATTCTATATCATCCTTACTGTTTCCAGAAGACAGGTGGGCTATGGGCCCTTATGCTTATTATTGATTGGCATTTAGAAGCTTGGAGAGTATGAGAAGTGCTCAAGGCCCCAGGGGCCCTATGTGGCTGAGACCCAAGTGTGTGTTGGAAGCCAAATTCCTGCACACCACTCACACTGCCCAGAAGGTGGCCATGCAGATCTGTCCAGCATGAGGCTCGCCCACCCAAAGTCCATGTCATAGCTCTAGACCATCCACAACGTGCTTTCTAGGTGACCTGCCCTTACTTCTGAGCTGACCTGCAAGTCCTCGCCCTCACCTGGCCACCGAGGCATCCATTCTGTGTCAGAATCGTCAGAGTCATCCAGTGGGACTTGGCTAGTTCGCCTTCCCCGATGCAGCAAAGCTGACCGCTGGGCTGTCAGACCTGGGAAGGACCCAAATCTTTTGTGTGTAGGGGAAGGACATGTCAGGAGGAGAGACAGAGGAACGGGCCTTGGAAATACACAAAGGCCAGGCAGGCTGGGGAGCAGAGATGGCTTCTGTGTGTGGCTAGCACAGCTCTTCTCTTAGCTCTGCCCTGAGCCCAGCAACAGAGCTTCCCTGGAGCCTTGACTCCTGAGGACAGGTTGCTGCACACTACCCTCACACAGAACTGTGAGACAGGGGCCTGCAGGGAGGCCTGCTTTCGTGCCCTAGGCTGGGCGGCACACAATCTCTTCTCACCTACAGAGAGCATCTCGCTGCAGTTGTTTTTCGCACTGCGGTAGGGTGTTTTCTGAAACTCTCTCATACTGGTCCACTGTTCCTTGGAGACATATCTGGAAATGTCCTTGAAAGCATCTGTGACCTAGAGAAAAGAGACTCTGTGTCACCTGCTAGCACAGGGCACAGACAGAGGCTCCCCTTTCTGCCAAGGTGCCTGTAAGGCCCTGCCAGGCCCGGGTGTCTCTGGGGAAGCCGACTGTCCCTCTTTCCACCTGCCTGAGACTTGGGAGAATGCTTGGCCCAGCTCTCTTCTGTGTTCACTGTGAGAGGAGGCCAGTTCTCCCTGGGATTCAGCGCCTCATCCCATCGGCTGGTCCCTCTGTCCTTGGCCCCAACTTTCCCTGTGCTCATCTACCTTGGGCCTCTGCCTGGCTCCTGATGAGTCCTCCTTTGAGTCCTCTGAGGAACTGTGGGCATTCATGGGGCCTGAATACTGGGCAGGACAGGGCAAGGCAGGTTCTGCAGAAGGAAGAGCTGGGGGCCGGCTTCCAGCTGTGTCCACAGAAGGATCAGGGGACCTCGGAGGTGACTGCTGAGACTCTGGCAACTGAGATCTGCAAGGGAGGTTTGCAATCAGGTTCCACTGTTCATGCAGGTAGAGGGAGCCAGCAAAGGTGTGGAGGTGTAAACTGAGGCCTTGGCCTGAAAAAGCACTAAGTCTGACCTGGCCCCTAACCCTAACCAAACCTTTCCTAAATCTAACTTAACGCTTGCCTAAAATCTAACCTAAACTAACCTAAACTAAACCTAAAACTCAGCACAACCATACACTACGCCTCATCCCACCCCAACCCTAACCCTCTCCACACCTCTGAGGTAATCAGATCCTGGCCCAAACACAACCTCAAACGTAAGTCTTACCACAACCCTGACCTCTACCCCAAACTAACCTAAAGTCTGTCCCAAAGCTGAACACAACCCCAACCACAGCTCCCCTATACTTCATCCAATCCTAACTCAAACTCTACCCCAATTGCAAACTGCACCCCAGCACTGACCTAAGCTAACCCTCACCCAAATGATAACTGCAACCCCAGCCCTAGCCCTTGCCCTCACACTCCTCTCCATAACTGGTTCTAACCGCACTGAAAAGTAGGGGTGTCCTGAGGTCCTGAAAGTTTCTGATCTGGCACCTCTGCCTGGGATCCCTGAGTTGGGGTGCAGTGTGCAGGCTTGGGACCCTGCAGTCGGGGTCAAATGGGTTTCCAGATCACGATATGGGGGAGGTGTGCTGTGGCTGAGGCTGTATCCAATGCCGAGCATCTCCGGATGCGCAGGTTGGGGTGTGGGATCCCTGTGCTGATGGAATCGGGGTCCTTGGCCTGACATGGGTTCCTCTGGGGCCCGACACTGGGGACTCGGGCTGTGTCTGAGGTTCCTCAGGGGGCCTTGGGGTCCCTCAGCGGAAGGCATGGGGTTTCCAGATGGAGCGACGTGTAGGCCCCTTCGGGATTGGGCTCTTCCTGGGCTGGGTGTTTCGGGATCCCCAGGCTAAGGGAGCTGAACTTTGTGGGTGGGAGATATTTGGGGTGAATGTACTGCCAGATATTGCAGTTTGTCTGGGTTTGGGACCTGGAGAGCCGGGCGCTGCTGTTCACAGATTTAGGGTTCCTCCTGTGGAGCATTTGGGGTAACTGGGCTGAGGGACTTGAGCTCCTCAAATGGAGATGTTTGGCGACCCTCACACTGAGGGAATTTAAGTGTCCGGGCAAGCGTGTGTGGGGTCCACAGGACATGATTGGGGTCGTTTGGGCTGAAGAAGGTTGCTCCCTAGGAGAGGATGTTTTCTGTCCTGGGGTCGACCCTGGACCTTGGGGTCTTGAGGTCCCCTGCCAGATGCGGAATTGGGGTCCCGCGGGGTGGCAGGGTTGAGTTCTCTTGGGGTGAGGAATTGGAGGCTGGGTGAGGTAGGGACTGAGAAAGGCGGGTCTCGCTCCGCGCTGGGAGACTTCTCACTTACCGCCGAGCCGGTCCTGTCTGGGTGCAGCCTCTTTCCCACACTGCTGGACCGGGACAACACAGTCCTGCAGAAGTCACTTACCTGGAGTGGGTGGACGCAGCCACTCGGTGTAGAGATAAAAAGGGCTGGCAAGCTTAGGGAAGGACAGGGCCAGCGGTTGGATCCTTGCACCACGTGGCGCGCACTGCTCTGCGCGGTAGTCCCGCCCCGGGGTGGGCGGAAATGACCCCCGAGTCTGGGCTTGATGGTGCACTCCTGTAATCCCGCGGCACTGAGGAGGCAGAAAGCGAGAGGATCACCTTTAGTCTGAGCTGCTTACTGAGACTGTGCAACAACCAGATGCATGAAAAAATAGTAATAAAAAAGAAAAAGAAAAATGGCTGCGCCAAGACTCCAGTGGGAGCCTGGATGAGGGCGGAGCAAGGTCCTTCAGACCCTGTGCCACCCCTGCAGGGTGCAGAGGATGGATTCTTCCAATTTACCTTTTTTTTTTTAATTTTTGCATTTATTTTATATAAAATAAAAAATGTATTATATTTATAACTTTCATACAATTGACCACTAGGAGAGCAGTAAGGATTGTTGAGCATGTCACATATACACATATCAAAAAGTCTCATTGGATACAAAACCAGAATGAAGGATCAAGAACAGTGGTCTGAAACCTACTCATAGGATTTTAGGATTAAATAAATAACAAGCAGTGTGAAATTTCAGACCACAGAAGTGTTGAACACAGAAAAATGATAAATACAAGAGCTTGATTTTCACATGGAAACAGTAAAAGTTACAGTTTTTTTATTTTTATTTAAATGTATTTGGTTGTTACAGGCCGCTCGGGCTCGTGGTGATCCTCCCGTTTCAGTCTCCCCAGCGTGCGCCACTATGAACTGCTCCTGGCCAGCTCAGCCCACCCAGGGTGGGGGGGAGCTGGCACACCATGTGGTGTGGGGACCAAACAACGGTTCCTGTTTCTGCATAAGCTTGCGTAAGCTTGCCTAAGCCTGCGCTTTTGTCTGCTGAGCTGTCTCTCCTGCCCAGTGCTTCTGTTTGTAATCCTCAATGTTGCATTTTGTCAAAAGTTTTCTAGATCTATTTACATGATTGCATGATGCTTCATTAGTGTCAATGGTATGGATTCCTTTTCTAAATTTTTATTTTATTTATTTACTTTTTTGTGTTTTGTACCGGCTCTCGAATTCAGACCTTGTGTTTGCCAGGCAGGCACTGTGCCTGCTGAACTCTAGCCCGAACCCCATTTTGCTTTTGAGAGACAGGGTCTCACTCTGTAATGCAGGCTGACCTTGAGTTCATTGTGCAGCCCAGGCTGGCCTCGAACTGGAAGGGATCCTCCTGCTTCAGCCTCTCAAGGGCTGGGATTACAGGTGAGCTGCACAAGGGCCTGCCGAGTTTACCGATTTCTGTGTTGATGTTGATCTC